ACACTCAATTTAATGTAAAAATGCATGTAAATCCCTTCATTGGGGGCCTGGTGCTCAGTGAATGTTAAAAATTCTTGTTTCTTCATGGAGAGACAACCAAAAGATTTCCCAAAATGAAATCAGTGGTTATTTCTGGATATTGACAAATGGCACTATGTTTACTTTTATTTTCATCCTTATGCTCGTTTCAAATGGTTGGGATTTTTAGTGAGCAGGAATCCTCGTCATCATAGAAAAAGAAAGATAAAAAGGGGCAGGGCGGGAGAGAGGGGGAAAATAACGTTTGGGACACAGAAAAAGTGCCTACATCCACTGCCCAGCCAGCTTCCACCTGACTATCCTGCAAAATGGCAGAGGGTTTTAAGGAGGGGGTGCTCACCTTTGCATGTTACTTCTGGGCCCTGGAACCGCATCAGTCCATTGCTCGACAGAAAGCCTCCTTTGCAAGTGCAGTAGTAGCTGTCCAAAGTGTTGGTGCAGATTGCATAAGCTGGGCACACGGTGGTATCTTCACATTCATTCACACCTGGGCAGCGCAAAAGGAAGTGTGTGGGTTAGAGCCCTGGGGCGGGCATCGGGGACAGCCAGCATGAAAGGGTGAAGGGGACTGTTGTGGGCTGACATGTACCCCAAAAAATGTGCTGAAGCCCTAAATCCTGGTCCCTAAGAATGTGACCTGATTTGGAGATAGGGTCTCTGAAAATGTAATTAAGACCCAAGAGAGCGTGAGATCCTCTTGGAGTTGGGTGGTCTGTAATCTGATAGGATTGGTGTACTTACAAGAAGAGGAGAAGAGAGGCACAGACAGGCTCAGGGAAAACACGACGTGGCAACAGAGGCACACACTGGAGTGATCTGCCTTCAAACTAAGCAATACCAAGGATTGCCAGCCACCCCAGAAGCTGGGAAAGAGGCACAGAACAAACTCTCCCTTGGAGCCTTCAGAGAAAGCATGGCTCCATGGACACCTTGATTCAGACTTCTGGCCCCTAGAATGGTGAGACAATAGATTTCTGTTGTTTTGAGCCCCCTGGTTTGTGGTAACCTGTTATAGCAGTCCTGAGAAACTGCTCAGCATGTCAAGGACCTTGTAGACCCTAGACTCCTCCTGTTCCAAGTGCAGTTCCCGGGCCAGGAGCATCAACACTGCCTGGGAGTTTGATGGAAACGCAGCATCTCGGGCCCCTGCCCCAGAACTGATGAACCAGAACCTGCATTTTAGCAAGACCCCTGGGCCATCTGGGTGCACGTGAGAGCGTGAGAAGCACCGATGTTGACACTTGGCTACTCCAGGTGTGGTCCTTGGACCAAGAGCAGCTGCCTCACCTACATCCTGGATCTGGAAAAAGAAGATGCTGATTCTGCAGGTCTAGGAAGGAGCCCGAGAGTTTGTACTTTTCACAAGCCCCTGAATGATGCTGATGCTGCTGGTCCTTGGACCAGCAGCACCAGGAGCATCAGGGCTCTAGCCAGAAGTGTTTGAGAGTCAAAATTTCAGCCTTTGGAGCACAGAAGACCTGGGTAAAGCTCCAGCAGTGAACCTCCAAGTGGACAATGGCAGCTGTCCTCCCAGAGCTTTTAGTAACACAACCATCCTGTTAAAGATTGCATTCGCAGGGTCTCCTGCAGCTCATGTGACTCAATTCTGCCCATGGGCATGTGCGCGGAAGTGATATGTGCATCATTTGGCCATGTTCTTGAGAAGAATAAACACGTCGGGGAGCCTTGGTGGCTCAGTCGGTTGAGGGTACAACTTCAGCTCAGATCATGATCTTAAAGCTCTGTACTAACAGCTCAGAGCCTGGAGCCTGCTTCAGATTC